CTGCATTATGCATACAGAATGACAACCCATCATTTCAGAAGTTATCAAACAGGTCTCCATTTTGCAGGTTATCCAAATGCTACTGAATAGAAAACCTTGGGTTCCCTAAATGATGTGTAATTAAAATTATTTTTAAAATCCTCCTTGACAGGCCGAGGCTTAGCCAAAATGTAAATGACATTAAAGAAGACAATGAATTTAATTTTATTTAATGTCCCTTTTTGCAGATCCTCATTTACATAGCATTTTTAACAAAAGCGTTGACCTTATAAACGCTGGCATTTGTACAGCTTCGCCGAGTTGGATTTAATCACGCTCGTGCAAGGCCATGAGGGAGGGAGCTTTAAGTTCCCCGCTTGGAGATGGAGTAGGAATAAAAACATCGGGACTGGTCAAATGTTTATCCACCCTGCTTCTGAAAACAACCTGACAAGAAGATGTAAGGGGCTAGGGAATAACCCAGTGCTGTTTGTAAGGCTTGGTAATAATCATACATAATCGTTTGGAAATATAGCTAATAAAAAATATAATGAGTGTTCAGCAAAATCGGCATTAGGCCCAAATTACATGATATTAATACTTGAACAGGTGCAGAAAGGAGCTTTAAATGAGGTAAATGAATAAATTGTCCCAGAGCACAACTGTGTGTGCTGACAAAAAGTCAATCCCATGAATAATTCAGCAAGCAGGACTGCCAGCAAAGGTCGGCTCTCTTTGACCTTTGTGACAGGAAGTGAAAGGAAACACTGTTGACTAAAAAAAGGAGAGAGAGCAGAGAGAGAGGGAGAAGGGAAGGCAAAAAGAAAAAGAAAACCTCCAGTCCTTTTGGGCTACCGTTCTGCAATCACTTTAAAGGTGTAAACTTAAAACACACAAATGAATCAAAGCGTGGCTCTGGAGGGCTGAGAGAGAGAGAGCACAGAGCTGAAATCTCTGGTACTCACACCCTCTGACCAGAGACGGTGTGAAATCGCAGACAATGAGAGGTTAAGCAAATAATGTTTTTCTACAACCCAATGTCAATTATGTATAAAAATCTGAGGTCAGCTGAAAAGTATTTTCAGAGCCCACAGGGCTGAAATTCTGTAACAGCTGTTAAATATGACAAAACTTCATGCACCCCCCCAAAAGAAAAACTACAGCCATTCCAAACTCTGTATGAAAGAAAATAGGATAAACAGATGTCTGGCTCCCAGACAGGAAAGTAGGACAGACTTGGAATGATAAGTCTCCCAAACTCTATAGACTAATGCCAGATTTATTGGGGAGGGGGCACTGCCTGCTGCAGAGATGCCAGCGAGCAGGACGCCAGAGACAGTGCCATCTGGAACCGCCCTGCAGAGCATGCTCTCAGTTGCACACGGCCCATGGTGCGCAGCCAGCCCGAGTGGGCAGCCACATTGCCCTGCTCCTGAGTCCTCCACAGGCTGCAACAGTTGGACCCTGTGTTTGTTTCAGTGCTCCCCAAGCTGAGCGAGGAAGGGCATGGTAAAGTGATGTGCCTTCCCCAGGCATTTGCAGAGCTCCTGGGGAAACAGACCCGGATGGCACAGGCGAATAATGTGAGCCCAAGTGTGGTTTTGGTTTAGCAGCTACGCCGACATCCTGTAATCACTTGCAGCCCTTGGAATGTACGGGTGAAACAGGAGAGATTTATCTGCTCATATTTGGGATATGTGGACAATGGGTGTTCCTAATGAAGACCATCTGCTTTTGTGTTTTCCCAGAAAACATTATTTCATAAGGAAAATAATACTCCCTTCCTCCTCAGCAATACCATAAAAATCCATGCATGTATATGTGAATGTGTATGCATTTGCATACATACACTTGCATGTGTGAGGTGCCTTGGCTGTGCATGGCCGTGTGAGTGTGAGTGTGAGTGTGTGTGTGTGTGTGTGTGGTATGAGGAGGTAGGCCTCCTTCCTTGCATCTGGCTCTTTGTAGGTCAATTCAGTGTACGCAGATATGTTCCTGTGTTGTCCCTTACAGGCCATACCTTTACAATGTTATATTCCTTCTCTACTTGGCAAGTTGCTATATTATTTTAAATACATGGAACTATAAAAAATTGTTTCTCCAACAGTGTTTTATGTGGGGAAAAAACAGTCCACATAAGGAAAAGCGTCACAATAAATACAAAGATTTCTAATAGGAGACATCCTCACTGCCCCCCCCACTCTGAAGTGTCTTCCATGCCATTTGTAAGTATCTAATACTTCTGAAAGATAACTAAACTAAATTGTGTAATTAATTGATTTACAGCATCAGGGCCTATAGAATGTGATTACCCTGTCAGAGCAGGGAGCTTACTTCCCTGTTCTCATAACACACAAAGCGGTCTCAACGTGTAGAAGAGCTTGGTGTGGGTTGGAGTAAATGTGGGTCCATTGATCTCAATTCAGGTTGGAATTATTGGTTTATATCCTCAGGACAAATATGCTTTATCTGGTCAGAACCTCCTAAATGTATCCGAAGGCCATAAGGAGCTGGCGAAGCACACTGTCTAGAGTTCTTAAGCCAACTAACCAAGTGAGAACAGGGCTGGTAGGGACCTGTAAACTCACTGACCTGACGGGACATTTTATTCTGCAATACTCAAGAGGAAACCCAGGCTAAAAACTCCACAGGAGCAACTAATTTTCAGAGGCAGTCCACACCCCACAGAAATGATCACCTCTATGAAACTGAGACACATCTCTGTTGCAAATGACCACACTGCCCCAAAGAGATCGCCTGCTGAAGATGAGCCTCTCTCTTTGATTAACACAAGCTGTCCTAGCAAACACTAAATTCATTTTTTCCTCTCCTAGAAATATGCCTTAAACTGGAGATAGTGCCAATACCACAATCAGTTCACAGGGATTTACAGCAAGCAGCAAAATGCTAATAGTATTTTGCCATTAAGAATGCTAAAAATGTACACTGTATTTGTCAGCACATAAAACTATCCTTACCTTAAAATCCCTAACATGGAAGGTGATTAAAAATCCTATAAAATTGTCATATCTTTGAATTTAGAAGCAGAGCAGATTTTTCATCAATAATTAAGACCTCCAAAGCATTTATGCCAAGCGTAAATGGAGCTTCAATCCTCCTTATTCAAATAAACATGGTAAACCCATTAACCAAATGTTTTTACATTTTTCCCTTCCTCTTGTGCTTCTAGAATATCAATGATCACATACTCCCCTTAGGTTATAAAGGTATGAGTGGTCTTTGCATATATTTTAATTAAAGAAATGTAAGAGAGACCCCCCTCAGAAGAGCATTAAAGAGTAAATTTTGTGTGTCGGAGGAAAGCGAAACCATCATGTGATTAAACACTCAGCCTTGGATGTTATTTGCTATCAGGGTTCAATAAGTGGCTGCACACTGAACAAATCCAAAGTGGTTTTGTAGGAAAAACCAGTGTCCAAAATGTGAGTCAAACCAACATGGCCTCTCCACCATCATGGCATATTTCTTGTAAGTCATGATTTAAAACCAAACCACATTTAAAATCTCCAAGTGAAGAGATGAAGCATTTTCACAGTCTCGCATTAAAGTCTAATATGGGCTGCTTTTCAAGCATCTCCCACTCAGACAAGGTTCCAATGGCTGTTTGGTACACGTTTAGCCCATCCAAAATAATAATAAAAATAAAATAAAATGAGTTCCGTCTCAAGACAACAACCCAAACCTGTATGACTTCCATAGCCACAACACTGAAACAACATAATTACATTGATTCCTGTAGCTCCAGTTCTGTAAAGTGTTGAACTTGTTCTCAACTGCCTGAGTGACGGCCACAACTGGTCAGCCCTATTTGATTACTAATAAGAGAGCTGTCCCTTCTGTCAGATACCGAACATTCTCCACTAAGCAAACAGCTATTCCAGCTAGTTAAACATTAGCAATGCTCCCCACCGGTGCCGCAGACTTCTTTAGGCTTAACTCGTGGGGTTTTCCGGGTTTAATTTTTCAGACCCTGGACAGCAAAGTTCATGATCAAAAGATAACTTTGTAATGAAAGCTGCTGAAACTCAACCCCTCTTCAAAACAGTCTAACCCTCTGCCTCACAAAACTGGTGTCATATATACACGTCTAACATTTATTCGATTTGGGTACCAATTTCAAAATCTGCAGTCAATCACACACTGGGCCCCTTGCTGCTCCCCATTGTTGGGAAGAAAGAAATCTCCTGTCCTCCTCAGAATAGCCTGGGTGAGTCAGGAGGGGAGGGTGGCAGTGTTTTTGTTGTTTCCACTAAGGCAATGCCAAGTGCACATTAGCACCATTAGGACTAATGATTGGTATCTTAAAAGGATGCCACGTTGCCCAAGGAACATGATAAATGGCAAGATGAGGAACAGCAAACTTAAAGAATGCATATAGCTAATCTAGTTATGGAAATTAATGTTGGAAATGTAACCAGCATGTGTAATTAGTTTCAATTATAACAACTTTGGTTTGTTAGTTACATATTTGCTACTTGACATAAAACGACAGCCACAATTGGAAAAAAATTAGGAGACATTTTGCAACTAATTGAGAGCAGATTAAATTCATTCTACCACTGGGCGATGATTGCAAGAGCACCACCACCCAAGCTTCAACTTCAATGACCATCCAAGATAAAAAAAAATAAAAATAAATAAATAATAATGCAAAAAAATGAAATACTTGTTAACAAATTAGCAGAAAGCATTTTATGACATATCTCTGGGTTTAAAGCCAGAGACTCTCTAGGCATAAAGTGCTCCTCACAGTGAGAGCAGTGGCAGATGAAACTGCTTCCCTTGACAACTCGCAAGCAATTACTGAATCCCCACAGAGCGAGCCACCGGGTTTCCACGTCAACCCACCTGTGCATGATAACACACGCGGACAAATGGTGCAGTGCACAAGATGAGCCCAGTACCAGCCTCAAAGCTAAGGAGCCACTGGAAACCAAGCAAGGCAGAGACTTTGGCTTGTTGCTACCATTTTGTTTTGAAAATAAAGAAGTCATCCTTACCTGTCAATGATTACAGGGTCTGAGGGCGTCTCGTTTCTATTGCCACAACTCTTCTTGTCACAGCACCGGCTGTGGGGCAATTGCAAACATGGCTTTTAGTATTCATCTCAGCTTCCTCTGTCCGACTTGTAACTTTTTTTTCAAAGTCTGACAATGAAGCGGTAGGAGTCAAGAAAATAGTTTTCCTACTTAGGCAGCTTGACAAATTTCAACCTAGTGAGTTCACATGCTCTTCAGCTAAACTTCTGTTGTAACTTTCTGCCAGAAGGAGCAGAGTTAAACACATCTATTAATACTAGCAGGCTAGCCAGAGCTCCTATACAAATTATGATGCTAAAATGCAGAAAACATGCTGTTGGTGTTTGTCTTTGCAATGAACTGAGGAGAAAAGGCTGGAGGCTGGGGAATAACTTTTCACAGCTTCAGCTTTTGTTTACCTCCAATTGTCAAGCTGTTATTTCTGGAAAAGATGCAAGATGCCACCTCTAACCAATATTTCTTTGGGGCATTTATTAATTATAAGCACAAAAGCATGCATCAATCTATCGCAAACGTCTATTGTCGCTTCTTTAAGCCTACCTTAACTCTGTTATTGAAACTTTAATTAAAGCAGAAACGAAACAAAAATGTTATGCTTCTCGCATTTTAAAAAAGCATACTTGTATAATGGTTACATGTCTAAATTAGCTAAATTAACACCATATGGTAGGCAAAGTATATAAAGCCTTTTAAAGCTGACAGCTAAAGTGATTAAAGAAAGTCTACAGTCTTCCACTTAGAGCTTAAATCACATCTGTGCGCTTTCTATGTTAATTGCTGTACATGCAGAAGTGGATAATAAAGAAATTCCACTTTATTGGTTGTAATTTATATTTATTACCTGATATGAGAAAAAGTCAGCTTTTGTATATTGGTGCTGTAACAATACCTCTGCTCAGAAGTGGCATTCAGGCAACAGGCACCATAGCCTAGGAGAGTATGCCCCTCAGAGTCCGGGGCCTGTTACTGTAGGCTGCAAGCCCGCACAGCCTTTCCTTATTATTCCTTGCAACTATATTTCACATGCCACACATACAAAGTCAATGATGCGTTTTTATTCGCCATGTAGGGGCGAAACTCTTGTGGTAGTTAGAAAAAAAACAGGTGGGAAATTGCTCTTCTGACAGAGATCTCAAGTAACGGCACGCTATCTAACAACAATATGAACGATGCATCGCTGCTCTAGGGAAGAGGTTAACTGACAGAATCACAATCCAATTCTCACATACACGAGCTCTGTAATAAGTACAAAAGGCTTTCCTTTTTATCAATAACAGACGTCTCAGGATGCGAGCTTCGGAGAAGGAAGTAGTCAAATGAGTCCTAGTGAACTCTGACTCCTGCGCGCAAGGACAGACGCACCCCCTGGTCCGTTTTCTTTCTCTCTCTCTTTCTTTTTTTTTTTTTTTATACTATATTGCCACGACACGGCCAATATATTAGTTCGCTCGGCTGAGCAGCGGGTCTCACTGACCATCATCACTGATGGAGAAAGGAGGTCGGAAGCTGCTTTGGCCCTGCCTGGGGCCTCCGGCCTACTAGGTTTCAATGGATGCCCTCTCTCTCGCAGTTGGGTGGGGTGACCGGCGCCTGCAAGTGTCCCTGCATAAACTTGGCTGGCGCCGGGGCCGCCCGCCTCCTGGGGCTCACCTGCACATGATCTCGTGGGTCAGCAGCACGCGGCACATCTCCGGGTTCTTGTCCTGGCCTTCATAAACGATGGCCTGCGTGGGGGACAAGCAGAGGCAGGGGTCACGCAGAGCCCGCGGCTTGGGCACCAAACCACCACGAGCGCTGCAGGCCTTGCGGGTGGCAGGTGCACAGCCCCTGAGGAGAGGCGACCGGTACAACAGACCACCCTCCCACCCTGCCACCCTAGGCACGGAGCCAGGCCTCAGAGGCCTCGCACTGCCCGCTTGCCGAGCTCTTCCCACGAGCGCACGCCGAGCCTGGGTTCCAGAGGACTGCGGGGAGGGCAAGGCTGGATCTGCCAAGCCCAGGGTGCAGCCTATGAGGGCGCACGGACTCCCACCCGGCTCCTTGTGCCTGGGCCATCGCAGCCAGGCGGGATCCTCCGGTCATTGTCTATACTAAGGCCCAATCGCTCTGTCGGAAGAAGCCGATCATAGTACGATAAGACTACAGAAGCCAAGAGGTCTCAAGGCACGGGAGCAACTCTCCTCGCCCTATGAGACGCTGCCCTGGCCGGGTCGCAGCCCTCAGCCCTGCGCCCTGCTCTCCCCCACCCCACCCGGAGCTCTAGCGGAGGCCCGCGGCTTGGGCTGCGTGGTTCGGCGTCCCGGATCAGCGGGAAGCCGTGCACAGCGGCCGCACGTGTTCGCACCACGCCAGGGAGCTGACGACCCGCAGGAGGGCCAGGGCCCGGGGCGCCCCTGCCTGCCGGCCACGTGCTCCTCGCCCGATGATATTTGGAAAGAAAGTGCTAATGGCCAATCTGGTGTTTATTTTCAAAGTGCTAACAATGATTTTTCTCGGGTAAAAAGGCAGTGTCTGCGCGCACGCTCGGGTGGGTTTTGAGCAGAGGCTCCGCCAGATGGTGCGAAGCCCTAGGTGCGCTCACGCCGGCGCCCAGCCCGGTTCCATCGCCGGGAGCCGCAGCTCGGCCGCCCTCGCCGCCGCCCGCCTCGCCCAAAGATGAGGAGAAAAGGCCACTGGGGGAGGGGCGGGAGGCGGGGGCCGCCAGCCTCAGGTTCCGGGCAGAAAATTCCTCCAAGGGGGGAGGGCTGCCCTCTCGGCAGTTCCCGCCCCCCCACCCCTGGAAATTACTTCCAATCTCCTCCGGCACTTTCCTGCACTTCCAGGCGGACAAAGCCCTTTCTGCTAGGCGTCCGGGACTGGCTTCCTGGGAAGAGGGAAGAGTCTAGCCTCGGTCCGCGGCCTGGAGCTCAGCCCGTTCGGAACCACAGAAGTGGTAGGAGTCACCACAGGCCAACGAGCAGCCTGGGGCTTCTGGGCTAGCGGCCTTGGCGACACCAGTACTTCTGAACGAATGGCTTGTCCTCCGATGATCCCCGTGTTTATATTTGATTTATTTTTTATTTTGTAGCACAAACAGAAATCCATAAACTGTCGGTTCAGCGCCATTGACTCTTTGATCAGTTACTGGGCTATTTCTTTACTTTTTCCTCCTATCCCCGTCAGTGAGGAGATTAAATGCCTGTATTTTCTGCACCGTGTACACTGCAAAAATGCTAGACGAAATGGACAATAAAAGTGTACTTTAACCGAAGCCCCCTGCTTCTCCCGTAGGTGAGGCACAGAAACTTAGCAGCGCCTGCAAAACCCTCCTAATTAGACTACAGCGATTCGCAAAACCTTCTGCCCGACATACAAAGGAAATAAAGGGCGCCTGACAAACAGCAGCCGAGTTCCAGAGCTTCTGTGAATCAGTGCAAGGCTGGCAAAGGGCACACCGCAGTCTGTGTGTTTACCTGCCAGCTCTCTGCTCCAGGAGAAAAACCACAAAGCTCTGCCGCTGCAGACATTAAAGCCTCATGCTCTGTCTGCCTAGGGAAGGACAAACTTTTTCAAAGAGAAATAAAATGTGCAGATTGTGCCCAGAGAATGGGAGGCATGTGTGCCAGACTGCAGGAAGCTTGGAGGAAGGCTTTTTCCCAGTTGGTTCACAATTCTGAAAGTTAGCATCAAAAATGTAAAGGCTACTTTCATTTCAAGTGTGAAGTGCAGCTTACAAATACATTCTAATTTCCAAAGGAATCAGTGCGGGGTGTGTTTAATTTGGGAATTCTATACATATCCACTCAACACTCTGTTCTAAGAAAGTGGAAACAACGTTTTTAAAACAATAACACATCACCCAGGACAACATTAGCAGCCAGAGACTGAACACCGTCAAAAAGCAATGAGGCGCTTTTCTGCAGTTAATCACATTACTGATAGCCAATAGTTATCATCAGAAAAGTTGACCAAGACAGGTTAAATAATTTAATAAGGAACTGCTTGTAATTATGTTATTTACAAGGTATGACAGAGGGTGGGAGAGAGAGCAGAGCAGTGGATGGGTTTCAGTGACCCCTGGAGCTCAGACTCTGAATTATGGAGATGGGGGGCTGAGAGGTGAAGATGGACTAGAGGAGAACAAGGTGACTTTTCACCCCAGCACATTTAACTTTTAAATCCAAACACACGGCTCGTGTTACTAGACCATGACACTAGAAAGGAGGAGGGAAAATAACTAATCGAGCTTAACTCGATGAGCTTTGGGACAGAGTTGGTTGCCTTTGCAGGGGGGAGGGATCAATGAAATTACTCCAAGCAGAAAAAGAAATGTTTAAAAATAAACAAGGGGGTCTTGAAATTTTTCTGTCAAATATTAATTACCATAATTAATTAAGACAGAGTTTGATTCCAATCGCAAGTCATTTAATAAAGCATATATGTCCTGCTTTAATGACAGCATAAACTATTGTACCAACCGCTCCATTTATTCCAATAAATATGGAATTCTCATTAGCATGTCAAGGAAGCGAAATGAAAAACAAATACAGGAGATCCATTTGTCAGTCTGCTCTCTCCGCCCTAGGACAACCCCACCTCAGCAGAAAGGACAAAACAATGAGTTCAGAGGCGTAAACTTTCTCACCTGCTTGGTCATTGAATCTATGAGGCGGACATAGAGATCTTGCTCTGTTCTGACGCCTGTGGCAGGAGAAAAAAACAAAACAGAGAAATTCTCAGCAAGATTTTTAGCTTGAACCTCAAGAGGGACAACTGGTCCTCGGCAAGCCAGTGCCTGGGACTAATGCCTCCACGGGGCAGCAAAGCTTTAAGGCAATCCCTACAAAATTGGGAGGGAGACAGAAAACCCCAGTAGCCTCTGACATTTTTCTTTTCTTAATTAAGAGTCTCGGGATTCGTAGGGTTTGCATTTGGAGACGTTAAGAAGTCTGCCTGGCGGAGAGCAGGCCTGCGTGCAGCTCTGGGCCCATATGGTCATTTATTTTTCGAAAAGAGAATGCACCTATGGAAACAGAGTCCAAACTCCTTCCAGCGCCTCTAGAGGGTTCTTCTCTTTCTAAACCGTGCACAGGAAGTAAGTTATGCTCGGTTTATGGAGCTACCCCCATCTCAATAATTAACATTAATTTGCAAAATTGAAAAAAGTCACTTAAAAGTGATGTTCTGCAGGAGCCCTTATCGATCCCCCTTTTACTTTCTACTTCAAGCCCCACCGGTTAATCATGTGAAGTGCCATCGACTTATCGATCGTTTATGTTTTGTTTTCCTTCTATGCCATGAGAAGATTTCGTGTTTACACCCATGTCATTTTAATCTCAAAATCTTTATGTCCTGTAACCATCGCGGAAAGGGAGAGCCAGCGCACAGGGCCAGAGGGCAGGCAGCTGGCAGCGCTACTCACCATTGCTGTACAGTAGCTGCAGCTTGTAGTGAATGCCGTTGTTGGTTTTCTCGTTGTTCGGCTCCTGAAAGCAACGATAAATAATTGCATTTAGCGTGGCCGCGTCAGGCGCGGTCACCGCGCTCCGGTCCCCCTCCAGGATCGAGGCCCCTCGGCCTCACACACTGCAGGCAGGATTCCTGGCTTGCAGCTACGCGGTGATGTCACTTTTCCTGCCGCAAGCCCAGCGTTCCCCTCGCCCCCAGTGAGTCCGAGGGCACCGAGAAGTTGCCCGGCCCTTGGTGGGGTCAGTGAGACCGCACGTGGCGGCGGAGTCGCCGGGCAGAGCGCTCCCGCCGCCGAGGGGTGCACTCGGACCCCGTGAGTGGGCACCGACTGCCCCCTACTCCTGGAGAGGGAGGGTGCGATCGCCAGTGTACACTTACTTTCTCTTTCTCCACAAAGTCCACAAAAGCGGTCCTTTCGATCTCCACCGGCTGCCCCTGCCTGTCGTAGAGCGCCAGAACGAAGTGGAAGAAATTGGATTTCCGGAGGTTGGAAGGCGGCTGCTTCTCGAAGTGCGCCCGCGCCAGCCCCACGCCGCTGCAGGAGGAAAGGGACAGCGGCCCGGTGAGCAGCGCGGCGCTGGCCGGAGGAGGGGGCCGGGCCGGGCCGGGACCAGGGCGCGCGGGGGCGGCCGGTACGTACCTCTGGGCGGCCGTGTTGGCGTCCACCACGCCTGCCGTGTGCATCCACGAGCGCACCGGGTTCATGCCGCTGCCCAGCGGCTCCTCCTTCATGGTCGTCCCCCCGCGCGGAATATTCTCCTGAATCCCAAACATGAACACTGCTGGCGGCGGCCGCGGCTCCCGGCCGAAAGCGCGTCCGCGGTCGGCGGCGCTCGGGGCTCGGCGGCAGGAGGCTGCCCTGGCCGCCCTGGCCCTGCTCGGCGCCTGCGGTGCGGCCCGCCGCCGGCTTCAGCCCGTCCCGGGCAGGCGCGGCATACACCGGCGGCCGGGCGCTGCGGACGGCCGGGGACGCGGGCGGGCTGCACCGGCGGCGGCGCGGCGCTTCGGAGGAGCAGGGCGCGGTGAACGCGGTGGCCGCGGCGGCGCTTGTTGTTGTTGTTGTTTGCAGACGCGCTCAACGTGGTGTCATCCTAGCCAGGCGGCGTCCGCGGCTGCAGGACACTGCGGGATCGCCCGCTTCTGGCGCGGCCCGCCTGCTCCAAAGACAAATAAACGGGGCAGTGAGTGCCGCGGCGCAGTCCCGGGCGCAGGCGGGGCGCGGCGGGGCCTGGAGCGGCGCGCGCAGCGGACGAAGGCGCACAAAACTCAGCCCTCTCTCCCCGAGGAATGGACCCTTTCCCGGGAGCCAAAACTCGAAGCCCCCGGGAGCGGCGCTGTCAGAGGGTGACGTCGGGGGGCGGTGCCTGTGCCATATATGGGAGCGGCCGCCCCTCGCCGCGCCCCTCGCCGCCGCCGCGCTCGCCGACTGACTGCCTGACGGCGCCGCGAGCCGGCCCGAGCCCCGCGAGCCCCGCGAGCCCCGCCGCCGCCGAGCGCCACCGAGCGCCGCCACCGCCCCCGGCCACGCGCCACGACTCCTCGAGCCCAGCCGCTGCCGAGGAAGTTACCTCCCGCCCAAATAAATCTCGCAAAGAAACTAGCGCAGTCAGTGCATAAGTGCTGCTTGGCCCGTTATACCTCCCCACAAGACCTGCCACACAGTCAAAACACCATGGGCCGAAGGAGGAGCGCCCCAAGTCGCCCACATGCATACAATAAATGCCAGGGCAGCACTGGCCCTGGGGCGTCCCAAAGGGAACAGCAGGAAGAGGCTGGAAGGGCGCGCGCGAGGGGATTCCCGGGGAGGCGGGGGACAACAACAGACTGGGGGAAGAGGGTGCCTAGTCTCCCCTCCTGTGGCTGCACACACCCCACCGCCACCAGGGCAAGAGGCGCAGCTCAGTCTGATTTCTAGGCAGACCTAAGGCTGCTGCAGGACCGGTGTGCCCACATCTGAGCCCCGCTGGGTGCCCCATGCTTTCTACCCAGGCAGAGCCTGCCGAGTGCCTGATCGGGGTCCACGTCGGAGACAGGTTCCTTCAGATGCCCCTTCTCCCTCCGATAGCCATAGGAGCTTCAGGCCCCTGGCCTGTCCTTGGGCACGGCAGTGACAAAGAAGGCTGGGCCCTCTCTGGGCCAACGGAAAGAGCGCTCGGCCTCTCCGGCGACCCGGAGCTGGTGTCCAGCCTATTAAGCGCTCTCTCTGAGTGGTGGCCAGATCTCCCCAGCTCCAACCGCCTGAAAAGCAAGCCTTGGGCGCCAGGGACCCTGCCCTCTGTGCTGCCCGGCCTGAGTGGCCCAGCGCCTTACAGCTTCCCGACCCGGTTTCGAGGAACCGGGAGGGCAGCTGGGAATCCAGCAGCGGCCCGGATTCGGTTCCCAGGCGCCCAGCCCGCTCAAAGGAGATCTTGTGCGACGCGGGACAGAAGCCCAAGGGAAGACCTGGAGATGTCCCAGGCTCTTTCCTGCCACGAGAAATAAGGCCCTTCTGGTTTTAAAAGAAGAAAAAGAAAAGGTTTCTGGGTGCAAGTGTTGCAGGACAGCCTCTTCCCGCCGGGCCTAGGGTAGCTCTTCCTTTTTTTTTTTTTTTGTGAATTGGTGGCGTGTGTACGTTAATATTTTAATTAATCGAGAAAATCGAAGTCCGATTTACGTTATCTGGGGAGCCCCCACATGCCACTTGGAAGGGGTGAGAGAAAAGATGTGCTGGAAAGCAATCTATTTTGCTGGTGTTGGGGGTTAATGACTATTGCCAAAGATAAGTGAATTATCAAAGCTGTTGCGCCAGTCCCATCTCAAAATCCATTACGGGGCCGGCCGTCTAATTAAATACGTAAGTATAATAAAATCATATTTTATGACTATTTGAGGGTAATGAGATTAGTCTTTAGAAGCGATCGCCACATATTAAAAATGCCACTGTCTATAGAATGTTAATAACCTTAAATCAAAGTGTATGGAAACTCCTCACGATAAATTAAAAGAAAATTTCTGTATTCCTAATAAGCCCTGCGTTTCCCACTCACAGCAGACCCCCATGCAAGAGGTAACACTTTTCTCCTGGAAAGACAACACAGAATAAAGTTGGCCATGGGTGGAGGGTGAGGTTGAGAGACGCTTTGTCTCTGTGTGTTCCAAGGCTTGGGGGCTCACACAGGGTGATCGACAGGGCCAGCATCAATGACAGAATATGCTAAGTGCCTTTTTAGACAGAGATGAAGTTGGGAAAGGAATACAATGCTTGCTTTGTAGCACACTTCCTAAAATGTCCAGCCTGGGCTGTAGGTGCCCGTCCTTGCGCTAAGGCAAGTGTCATGCTTAAAATCATTTACAGTATCTTTAATTCAGATTACACGCGCCAAGGCGATTTAAATCTGATTACCAAATTAGAAGGTTTAAAAACAAATCCTTCTAAATCTGATACTGTTGACTAAAGAGGGGGAGAAAAAGTTCCATAAGCCCATCACATAAGGTAACGATCCTGCCCCAGAAAGAAAGGGGGTTTTAAACCTTTTTGACAACAAATGCAGCTGCCCCGCTATTTTGGACGATATTAAGCGAAAATGAATGCAAATCTGTGTTCGGCAGCCATCTGGCCCGAAATGGGGGAATCAGCTGTCTCACAACAGGCTCGGAGGCTGAATCCATTTCAGCTCATTTTCTACATCATCTGGTCGCGCACCCAAAGCGTGGAAAATACGGTCTTTATCATTCACCAACTTTATCTTTTTTGTCACTCTACGGCTGGCTCTGAGCTGTGAGCACAAGGTCTCGCCGTCCAGGCAGGGTCTCCACCCTTGCCTGCTGCAGAGGAGCCTGGGTGGGCAGCCCCCACCCCATGCCACCCCCAGATTTTCGATTTGATGGGCAGCAAGGGATAGAGCACCTAAGCCAGACTGTGGGGGAGGGGCTGCCGGCCAAAATCCCCAGAGTCTTGCAAGGTGCTGGGAGCACCTCTCTCAGGAGCCCCGCCCCGCACCTCGCTGTTTCTAGCTAAAGCAGCCAGAATCCAAGAGGGCTGTACCGGAGAACTGACTAGTACTTTGGAAGTTGCGCCGAGCCGCGCCGGCCAGTGACCTAACCCATTCTCCCAGTCGCCTCCTAAGGGTCAGACGGGCGTCCAGGGACCGGGTTGGGAAGGACCCGACCTTTACCGTGGGCCCTGCGGGCTGCGACTGCGGCGGCGATCGCTCCGGGCCCCGCGCCCAACGCGATTTGCACGGGTGGCCCTAGAGCTGCCGCCGCCGCCGCCGCCGCCGCCGCCTCCTTGGAGGGTGGGAAGTATTCCTTTTGTGCGGATTTACGGGGAGAGGCTTCAATGAGCCCCCTCGCATTTGCATTTAAATAGCAGCATCAAGCGCTTCGCGTGCCACACACCAGTGGGCTCCCAGATGTCAAGCCGGAGTCAGTCAGATGGCCAGTGCCCAGCTGTCCTTCCTACGTCGTGCCGAAGCAGGCAGTGACCTTAAAGAGACAGTGCTCACCGCCCCTAGAGCCCGGCTCCGGGTGCCGCATGAAAGGCAGCCAGCCCTTAAGTCACTGTCTTTAGGCATCACCTGGAATCTGAAGGATGGTCCAACCTCCCGGAACCTGCATACAGGCTCACTTGGTGCTGAGTGTCTCGGACGCTGCGCTCCACTAGGTCCTAGTCTCCTGTCCACCAGCGGCTCAGTGTGCACCAGGAAGACACCTCTCCATACCACTCTATTCCCCGCCCCCACTTTGGTGTGGGGCAGAGCCTGAAAAGGGAGTGGGGGGCTGGCCTGGTTCTGGCCTCTGATCCACCCCCTTCAATTTTTCACCAAATTATATCCCAGGGCACTAGGGACACAGGTCACCAGGTGCCGCAGAGGCAGCATCCACTCGGTGTCCAAGGCGCCTTGTCTGTGCCCTTTCTTGCTCGACTCACAAGCCCAGAGCACCCACCAACCTCCCAAACATCCTTCCAAAAGTAATAAACTACATTTCCGGTGCTGAGAAGTCCCAGCCAGAAATTCCTGGAAGCAAAAGGCCCTGGAGTATCAGTGGATACACAAATCCAGTAGGATCAGAGCCTCCAGGGGGCACAGGGCCACAGGCCCAAGCTACCTGACTATGTCACTGGAGTCAAAGTCAGCGGTTTTGTGTCCACAACACCAGGGCTGAGTTTCGGGAGCTGGCTACCCTCATATCCTCGGTGCCTCGGGGTCAAGCTCAGAGTTGCTGGGCCTCCAGCCTTTCTCCAGCTCTTTTCCAGCCCGGGGATCAGGAGCTCATCACAGGCAGAGTCTTGCTAAGAACTCCAAAAGGGAGAGCAGGACTGGCTCTGTGCCCGGAGTTGGAGGCCAGAAAGGCTGGGAGAGGAGCACCAAGACGGTTTCTGGCACTGTTTACAGGGTGGAACTGCTATGCTCTGCCTCGCGCCGACCGACCGCCTCCTGTAGGCAGTGGGGCCCCAGACCACGGCCGAGTCTACCTCATGGCACAGCGTCACTTTGGCTGGTAAACAGAGGAGTAAGACAAGCAAGAGCTCGGTACATGGGGCGTTGCAACCTGTTTAACTGAGCAGCAGGGGAAGCTGGCCCAGGTTCGGTTCTTTCTGGAACCAGAGAATATTCCTTCGCCTCTTTCTAAGAAATAATGCAAGTCAGTGGACCTTTGACAGTCGGAACCTAGGTCAGGAGGTGCATCCCGCATGCTCTTGAAGGCAAATAACTACGCATCTAGTTCCTAGCATATGCAGCGCATCAACCTGCACCTCTCCCCTACTCTAGAGGGCAGGAAGCCCGGTGAGGTTCATGAGGACAAAAAGGCAAAAACGTAAGGGTCGTAGGCTCCCGTTTTCTGCCGCCTCCTCCCACAGTATTTATTACGCATAGCTAAAGTTCCTCAATCCCGACCCCGG